AAACGAGTACTAAACTTTGATGAAAAAATAGTTTTCGAGCAAATTTTTTTTTTACTTTTTGGCAATATTAACAAATTTCATAACCGATTGTAAAACAAAATTTCATTTTAATGAATAATTTTCATATAAAATAAAGTCAAACGTGAACAAAAAAAATTCAAAATTTCAAAAATTCTCCGGGTGAAAAATTATATCAATTAAACGCACTTAATTAATAATTTCTTGCAAAACAATTTTTAGACAATTACTTTCTTTGGAAATCATTTTCTGTCTATCCTTACAATCAAACGCACCATTTTTAAAAGTATGAAACTTGTATAAAAAGAAAATAAGTCCTAAACTATTGAATTTCCTAGAAATGATTTGCATAGAAATTATTAATTAAATGTATTTGAATGGTTTAATTTTCCTATAAAATATTATACTTATCTATATTTTATTGTTGGGTAGGTCCCGTAAAATAAAAATCTACTCATTCCTAAAGAAAATGTTTTCCTTGTTTTTGAAAAAATATGATCATGTGACCAACTTTTGAAAAATATTTTCCATAAAAAAAATGTTAATTAAACATCCTAAAAGTAGGAACTTGTGTAGAAAAAAGATATTTTTCATGAAAATTAAAGTCAATCAAATACACCCTATATAGTATTTAGTTCTAAATTGAATATGCCCCCATGGCACATTTTCAAGTGGTAACAGGGGAAAGTGAAAAAACTCCAACATTGTTTAAGACTGCTGCGTCAAAGGTTCGAATCCTAAAATATGGATTTGACCCTTGGGTAAGTGAAAGTGTACAAGCAGCCTTCCATCCTGTACCCTTGAAGGCATAACCTGCGATTTACCTCATTCACCAAGGCCCAGGGCAGGTGGGGGTTCTAAATTGAATATTCTCTAAAACGAATTTAAAAAGTTGTACCTTTTTTTCCCTTTTTGTCAATAAAAACTCCTTAACTTTAATCAAACATTTCTAATTTTAATGACTTATTATTATTATTTTTTCTAAATTTTACCTCGGAACATGTTAAAGCTCCTATAAACGTAGGTAACTTTTCTTAATTCTTACTGTCATCTCATTTATTACTTCTATCATATAGATGAGAATCAATTTTTTCACCGGCCAATCATAAAATGTCAATTGAACATTATGTACATCAGTGTTAACTCTGATGTACATGTAGCAAAGCCCAACGATGAATAATTTATGTTGTTTATATCACATTTGGTACACGCCTATAGACGGCTAGAGACGTCATTGGGTTATAAATTAGCATATTCGATAAATTGGTGAGTTTCGAAGGATAGATATTGCTTTGCAATGTTGAATATAGGGCATGTTTCAGCCCTATTTTTTTGTATAATTTTTTTAGAATAGTAGATTAATAGAGAATGTGTGGTTAAAAATTAAAGAAAAGTTTTTGGATTGCGTATAAT